AGAGGCATTAAATATGTCAAAACTAGAAGACAGAAGAAAGAGAGTTGATATGATCACTACGTACAAAATAGTAACAGGAATTGATAAAATCGATAGGGAAGATTTCCTGAGACCTGGAACTTCAAGAACATGTGGTCATAGATTTAAACTAGCTAAACACAGATGCCGAAGAAATATAAGAAAATTCCCTTTCGCAAACAGTGGTAGACGGGTGGAGCAAGTTAGGTGAGAAGGTGGTGGAGGCCAAGACCGTCAGTAGTTTCAAAGCGTTGTATGACAGAGTGCTGGGAAGACGGGACACCACGAGCGTAGCTCTCATCCTGTAACGACACTTAGGTAATTACTGGGGACCATGAGCCTTAACCTGGCCCCCTCGAGAGAGGCATTAGGAGCAATGGCCTATAGAAACCCCGCGTGTGGTTGGGAGCATTGTATGTTGCCATCGACCGGATCTGGCACCCAGAAAGGTAGGCGCTCCAAAACAAATCCCTATTCTGGTGAAAATTGCTATGAAAAGGCAAAAAAGTGGATAAAACTCCCGTAACAAAAATTAGCAATCGAGCATGATGTCATCATGTTGCCACGCCGTTGTCTGTGCAACCCCCCCCCCCCCCCCTCCCTTTCCTGGGAGGGGGAAGGGGGACCCCCCAGAGCCCCACACCAGCGATGCACTCTACAGTTCTCAGGCTGATGTGCTACTGGCGTGGTCTTGTGCGTCTGGCTCCAGCAATTTGTCTCAGTTTCTGTGCCATGGTCGTGGACTGTCTCTACTGGTGGTGTGCGAGCCAGGATTAATATACTTTGGTATATTAGTATATCCAATTTCAGTTGAACAATCCTATTTTACTTTGTGTATGGATCTTTGGCCCTTACTGGGTTCGTTACAAAGTTCGGGAGTTCAAGGATGTGTATTGGCACATCCCAAATCTGCGGTTCAGGGACTGGTTTGGTTGTGTGGTGGAACGTCAAGGTTACCACTTTCATTGCCTTCCATTTGGCTTGAATCTGGCGCCTTGCATTTTGCAGGTGGCCTGCCTGCATCTGTTAGGTGTTTGGGTTCTGGCCTACCTCGACGACTGGCTAATTTGGGCTCCCAGCCTGTCCTTGTGTTTAATCACCTGGGATTTGGTTCTTTCCCAGCTCGCCGGGTTTGGATTTTTGGTGAACTGGCAGAAGTCCCATCTGTTTCCCTCTCAGGTTCGGACTTGGTTGAGTTTTGTGTGGGTTGCTCGGACCACTTCCTGGTCTCTTCATCCGGAGGCTCTGCTTTGTCTGCGTTCCCACCTCCATCTTTTTCTGAGGGGCTCTCGGGTAACGTAACGGTTGCTCGAGAGTTTGTGCGGGAGCCTGAACTTTGCCTTAATGGTCTACTTGCTGGGTCGAGTAGACCATCTACCAGTGGTTTTGTCGGCCGTTCTGGCTCCTTCGGGGACGTCCCGTCCGCCCTTCTCGTGACCGCTGTGTTAGGCCTCTGGGGACCGTGCATCAGTTGCTGTTTCGCTGGCTTCCTCATCGGGCTTTCCGGGGTTCTTTGGCGCCTACCCTGAGCCCTCGATTAATGTGTTCACGGACGCAACATCTCTTGGCTGGGCTTTGTGACCAGTGCTCACCAGGGCAGCCAGGGGCTGTGGGTTCTGTCCCTCTGGCTCACAGCACGGTCTAGCTCCATTGAACCGGGACAGCCTGTCCCAGTTCATTCCCCTGTCCACTGAATGGACGATCGACGCCGACTCGTTTCGTTGGCTTTGCCAGACGTTCAGGCCTCCGGAAGTGGATCTCTTTGTGTTGGCATGGTCGAGGCATCTCCCGGTGTACGTGGCGCCCTTCCTCGACTGCGAAGCCATCAGGGTCGATGCCTTCAGGCAGGACTGGGCAAGGTGGGGTTACCTGTACCTCTTTCTCCAGGTTCAGCTGTTGCTCCAAGTTCTGGCTCACTTGGATACTTGCCAGGGGAGAGTAGTTCTCTCAGCCCCTTGGTGGCCACCCCAGCCTTGGTTTCAGGCGCTGCTTGCTCGGTGTCCAAACCCGAGAGTCTTTCCGTGGCTCCCCCTCTTTCAGGAGATTGGTCCTTCCCGTTACAAGGATAGTTCGCTCTTCTCCTCGAGTCTTCACGTCTGGTCTTTCTGACTCGAGTCTGTCACCATTTGTATGGGGCGCAGGTGGCTTCGTTGTTGGTCTCCCATCTGCATGCCTCGTCTTTGTGGCAGTATGAGGTTTCCTGGCGGTCCTTCCAGTTTTTCTTATCACTGTGTAGGTGTACTTCGGTCTCTGATAGGGTTGTTTTTTCGTTCCTTTCATGACGGTCCTTAAACAGTCATCTTATGCCGAATACTGTCACCACCTACTGTGTGCCGCTGGCGGGTCCGCCAGTATCGCTGAAGCTTGCGTGCGGTATTGATGTTATTTCTGCTCCGTTCTGCAATTTGTCTCGTGTGTTGTTTCACCTCCAGCCTGCTCATGTGTTGTCTGAGCCCTCCTGGTGCTAGGACCAGGTGCTCTTTCCTCTCTTCTCCTCAGTTTGTGGTGGCCCCACGGCTAGCCAGCCTGCAGTGGCCCCACGGCTAGCCAGCCTTCGGTGGCCCCACGGCTAGCCAGCCTGCGGTCTATCCTCGTGCCTGCAACGTGCGTAAGTTGACTGCTTTGGCTGCCGTCTTTGGCAACATGTCTTGGGTTGACATTCAGGCACAGGGTTTTTGGAGGTTAAATAGGGTTCTGGTAGTTTGCTACCATGTCAATGTCCCAGGTCTTCGTAGGGCCTGTGTTGCATTGGCTCGGCGGTTGTAGCCAGTTGTCTCAGGCTTCGTGTTGAGGATTGAGGACTGACCGCCGCCCGGGTATGCCCTGTTTTTCCCTTGTCTTTGGGTAGTTAGCTCCGGGGAGCTGACAGGGCTCCCGTCCCCCCAGAAAACCAGCGTTGAATGTAATGAAACTCCATTTTCTGGGCGAGTCCCAGAGACTCCCTGGCATCCCTCCCTCCCCTTCCGGTCGGCGGTGTTTTCGCATATTTTGGCAACCAGCCTAAGAACTGCATGGTGGAACGCCGGTATGGGTATCTGATATTCCCCCTTTCCCCTACCGGGGAGGGAGGAGATGCGCAGACAGCGGTGCAGCGACATGATGAGGTCATGCAGGCGATGAGTCACAATAACGTGGCTGAAGTATGTTGACCAGACCACACACTAGAAATTGAAGGGACGACGACGTTTCGGTCCGTCCTGGACCATTCTCAAGTCGATTGTGAATGGTCCAGGACGGACCGAAACGTCGTCGTCCCTTCAATTTCTAGTGTGTGGTCTGGTCAACATGATGAGGTCATGTTCGTTTACTAATTTTCGTTTGGGAGTTCTGTCCACTCGTTCGATTTTCGGTAGCAATAGTTTCACCAGAATAGGGGGTTTGTTTTGGGGTGCCTACCTCTCTGGGTGCCAGATCCGGTCTATAGCAGACATAGAATGCGCCCAACCATACGGGGGTTTCTATAGGCCATTGCTTCCTGTGCCTCTCTTGAGATGCCATGTTCTGGTTCATGGTCCCCGGTAGGCAAGAACTCTGTGCACATTGACTGATGCCAGAAAGTTATACATATCTATTCAGCCTGGATAGCTCCTGGGAGCCTCCGAGGCTCACCCAGAAAATGGCATTTCATTATATTCAATGCTGGTTTTGTATAGTAATATTATTAGGATAATAAAAATTTAAACAAAATCTGTAACCAAAAATATAAATAATGTACATCCAGAAAGAAATCGGGAATTTGTTTCTCCCTCTATCCCATCCATCACTGCCTTTCTCTCCCCCCCCCCCCCTCCCCTCCAGCACATCATCTCTCCCTCCTTTAGGTTGGTATTCAGCATGGTGGGGATATTGATGTTCATTTACCGTTACTGATTTTTACTTTGTAACCGTCACACACAATGTGTTTATAATTACAAATGGTGCCTCAAGAGGATTCAAGCAAAATACTGTATACAGTATACTATATACAGTATGCCTTTTCTAAGGTATGTAAAGATACAGTATTATTCATTATTGTACAGTTAAGTAGTACTGTATATAAAAGTGAATTATTCTTGATGTATATATATATATGGTACTACAAAAATACATTACATAAATATCTCCTGAAGGCATCTCTGGTTGCAACGAATCCCTCACTCCAACATATTGAAGTTGGTCCCAAATAGAACTGAGCCAACCTGTCGGGTGGCACATCACTCATTCCCCATGTTTTGTTGGTTGGCGCAGTGCAGTGGTTACGCAAAAGTACATACATAAGATATAAAAAGAATATATAAAATCATGAGTAGGGCAGGTACAATGCCTAAAGCCACTAATAAGCAGAGCAGAGCAAACAAGCGCTTCTTGTTTCCCCAACTCCATTTCCTGTCCTTGCAATTCACCTATACTTTTCCTCACTATTTTTTTTTAATTCATTTTTCATTACTGATGTGTTGGTTGACTGTTTTTTCCTTGCCGTTAAGTGACAATTTCACAAGTCCCGTGGTCAAAATTATCTTTTTAATAAAGTTTAATTAGTTAAACTAATTACTTTTCTTCTCCTTTTTCTTTTTTTTCTTTTTCTTTCCATTGTTTTCTCTTACGATCTCTTGCTTATGCCTACTATTTCCACCCATTTTATTCCTTTTACTTTCCTCTTCTTATTGGGTGGTATAAATAGGAGCTGCCTTGAATGGGCCAGTAGGCCTTCTGCAGTTTTCTTTGTTCATGTGTTCTTGTTTTTTCATTCTTACTGTCCCCCTTTATTACACCTTACCTTTCCTTCGTACCTTTGCCTTGCCTTCTCTTCCTCCAAGATTTTCTTCTTCTCACCTCTCTTCTGTCTATTTATTGCCTTCTCCTCCTCCAATCATCACAATCAACTTGAGAATGGTCCAGGACGGACTAAAACTTCGTCGTCCCTTTACTTTCTAGTGTGTGGTCTGGTCAACTTTAATTAGTTAAAATTCTGGAGTTCTCGGCATCTTGTATTTTACTTTCAGTTTGTTGATAAATGTAAAGATTGGAAATTGCTTGGAGCTCGTCCAAAATTTCCTACACCAAGTCAGACTCAAGATATTGTCCAAGAACTTGAAAACACAAAAATGAAGAGCAAAAGTTTGTCAACTAGCAGTCTTCACTCAAGCATTTCAAGTGCAACAAGTTCACTACTTTTATCAAAGATACCTGCTTGTAAGTATAAATTTTCCTGAAGTATAGACTTGAACATGTTGGCTTTATTCTCTACTCAAAATTAGGTAGCCTTGGTTCAATTCCTTCTAGTGACAGAAAGGGTTGGGTTTACCTTACACCCAATGCATTTGTTCACTATCAGTAAATATGTACCCAAAAGTTTGGCAGCTGTTGTGGAAGTTGCACCCTGGTGGATGGTCAGTAGGGGAAGAGGGAGGGGGAGACTTCAATACATGCCTGAAGGGTTTGTGTAATTACCTAAGTGTAGTTACAGGATGCGAGTGTGTAATTACCTAAGTGTAGTTACAGGATGAGAGCTACGCTCGTGGTGTCCCGTCTTCCCAGCACTCTTTGTCATATAACGCTTTGAAACTACTGACGGTCTTGGCCTCCACCACCTTCTCACTTAACTTGTTCCAACCGTCTACCACTCTATTTGCGAAGGTGAATTTTCTTATATTTCTTCGGCATCTGTGTTTAGCTAGTTTAAATCTATGACCTTTTGTTCTTGAAGTGCCAGGTCTCGGGAAATCTTCCCTGTCGATTTTATCAATTCCTGTTACTATTTTGTATGTAGTGATCATATCGCCTCTTTTTCTTCTATCTTCTAGTTTTTGCATATTTAATGCCTCTAATCTCTCCTCGTAGCTCTTGTCCTTCAGTTCTGGGAGCCACTTAGTGGCATGTCGTTGCACCTTTTCCAGTTTGTTGATGTGCTTCTTAAGATATGGGCACCATACAACCGCTGCATATTCCAGCTTTGGTCTAATAAAAGTCGTGAACAATTTCTTTAGTATTTCTCCATCCATGTATTTAAAAGCAATTCTAAGGTTAGAAAGTGTAGCATAGGCTCCTCGCACAATGTTCTTAATGTGGTCCTCAGGTGACATTTTTCTATCTAAAACCACCCCTAGATCCTTTTCTTTATCAGAATTCTTTAAAGATTTCTCACATAATTTATAGGTTGTGTGGGGTCTATGTTCTCCAATTCCACATTCCATAACATGGCATTTATTCACATTAAATTCCATTTGCCAAGTGTTGCTCCATATACTTATTTTGTCCAGGTCGTCTTGAAGGGCATGACAATCATCTAAGTTTCTTATCTTCCCTATTATCTTAGCATCATCAGCAAACATGTTCATGTAATTGTGTATTCCCACTGGTAGATCGTTTATATAGACAATGAACATTACCGGTGCAAGAACTGAACCCTGAGGTACTCCACTAGTGACATTCCTCCAATCTGATACCTTGCCTCTGATTATGGCCCTCATTTTTCTGTCAGTTAGGAAATTTTTCATCCATGTTAGTAGCTTACCTGTCACTCCTCCAATATGTTCCAGTTTCCAGGACAACCTCTTATGGGGAACTCTGTCGAAAGCCTTTTTTAGGTCCAGATAGATGCAGTCAACCCAACCAACTCTTTCCTGTAAAATCTCTGTGGCTCGATCATAAAAACTGAGCAAGTTCGTTACACAGGATCTTCCAGATCGAAAACCATACTGTCTGTCTGATATTATAGTGTTTTCCTCCAAGTGTTCTACCCATTTAGTTTTAATTATTTTTTCCAATATTTTGACTACTGTATTACACTTGTCAGTGATGCAGGTCTATAATTAAGGGGGTCTTCCCTGTTTCCACTTTTGTAGATTGGAACTATGTTAGCCTTTTTCCACACATCAGCTACAGCTCCTGTACACAGGGATGCCTGAAAAATCAGTTGAAGTGAAATGCTGAGCTCAGGTGCACATTCTCTCAGAACCCATGGTGAAACTCCATCTGGACCAACTGCTTTGTTCTTACTTGGCTCCTTAAGCATTTTTTCCACTTCGTTTCTAGACACCTCTATGTGCTCTATGTTGTTCTCTGGAATTCTTATTGTATCTGGTTCCCTAAAGATTTCATTTTGTACAAACACACTTTGGAACTTTTCGTTTAGTGTTTCACACATTTCCTTTTCATCTTCCGTGAATCTATTTCCCATTTTCAACCTCTGAATATTATCCTTTACCTGCAATTTGTTGTTTATGAATTTATAGAATAGACTTGGTTCTGTTTTACATTTGTCTGCAATCCCTTTTTCAAAATTTCTTTCTGCCTCTCTCCTCACTGCCGTGTAGTTGTTTCTCGCATCTTTGTATCGCTGGTATGTTTGGGGGTTTGGCCTCTTCCTGCATTGATTCCATTTTTGTGTCTTTTGGTCTCTAGCCCTCTCGCAATTTCTATTGAACCAATCCTGTTTCCTAGTTCTGCATCTCTGTTTTGGTATAAATTTTTTCGTGCCTTTATCATATATTTCACAAACTTGACATACATCTCATTCACTTCCTTGCCTAGCATCAAGTCTGTCCAATTATACTCACTAAAAAATTTCTAAGGTCACCATAATGTCCTCTCCTGAAGTCTGGTTTTTCAACTGCTTCAACCTCCTTATTTTCTTCCAGCTTATAACGCATTGCATACTTTAGTATCGAACTCCAGTATCGAAGATACTGGAGTTAAGTGATGTAATACAGCTGCAGACACCAGACATTGTTGCACTCACGGAGACAAAACTTGAAGATGTAATTTTAAATGAGGTCATATTCCCAAGGGGCTACTCAATTTGGAGACGGGACAGAAAAATTAGGAAAGGCGGTGGCGTTGCTGTGCTGGTAAAAGAACACCTAAAGGTGAACGAAATAATGACTGCCAATCCACAAGAAGTTGACATAATAGCACTAGAGATCTGCCATGAGGATGATAAACTAATGATAATAAATGCATATAGTCCACCGCCAAGCAGCACATGGTCAAAGGAGGAGCTAGATAGTAAACGTGAAGGTCTTGTAACAATAATGAGAGAGATTATAGCGAGAGCGGATAACGATAGATCACGACTGTTAATAGTCGGTGACCAACTTGAAATCCATAGACTGGGAAGCATATGAAGCTAAACAGAAGATTTTTGGACCTGTAAATTTGTAGACCTCATCCTGGAAACATTCTTGTATCAACATGTTAAACAAGCTACGAGGATGAGGGAAGGGGACATTCCCTCCATGCTAGATTTGATATTTACCAGGAAGGAGGAAGAGATATTTGACATTCTAGGTTCAACCTAGGTTCCTAGGCAACCTAGGTAACCTAGGTTCAGTTTCAGCTTCTCTCTATCTTCTTTTGAAAGATCTCGTCTTAACGACCACCCTTTCCCATCCTCATCACTTTGCAATTTTCTAGCATTCCTTAGTACTTCTTCCATCTGTTTGGCACCGTTTAGGGTGATCCTCAAAGGTCGATCTTTCCCTTTTACGTACTTGCCTATTCTCCTGTAGTCGCACATGTGTGTAGTTACCTGTGTGTATAGTTACAGGATAACGGCTACATTCATGGTGTCTGTCTTCCTAGCACTCGGCACTTCCCAGCTATTTTGTATCACTTGTTATACACTACTTTGAAACTACCGATGGTTTTGGCCTCCCACTACTTTTTCACATACTCTAACCATCTATCACTGTCTGCAAACGAAAACTTAAACTTGTTTTGGCACCTTTGATTCCTTAGCTTGAATGTGTGACCTCTTGTTCTTGATATTGCCAGTTTCAGAAATTCCTCTTTGTCTATTTGGTTGCTTCCTGTTATTATTTTTGATGTTGTGATCTCTTTTTCGTCTGTTTTCTAGTTTTGGCATATTTAATACCTCTAACCTCTCTTCATAACTCACTTTTTCAGTTCTGGAAGCCATTTTGCAACAAGCTTTTGCACCTTTTCTAGTTTATTGATATTTTTTTTTTAGATATGGGCACCATACAACTACTGTACTACTTACTCAAATTTTGGTCTCACAAAGTCATAAACAGTTCCTTAGTATTTCACCATATGTATAATTAAAAGCTAGTCTGAAGTTGGAAAGCGATGCATATACTCCTGTCACAATGTTTTTTGTGTTGTACCTCAGGTGGCAGTTTACTATCCAAAACCACCCCTTGGTCTCGCTCTTTATTAGAGTTCTTGAATTTCTTTCCATATACTTTGGAAGTTTTCTGTGGTTTCTTTTCTACAATACCACATTCCAAAATATAGCATTTTCTGGGGAAAGCCTCTTCGGGTCCCTGGAGTTATCCAGGCTGATATGGATACATGAGACTTTGGCATCAGTGTGAATGGAGTTCTAGGCCTACCGGGGACCACGAGCCAGAAACTGGCCCCCTCAGAGTGGCACGAGAAGCAATGGCCTATAGAAATCCCTGTGTGGTTGGAAGCATTCTATGTCTGCCATCAACCGAGTCAGGCACTAGGCACCCAGAAAGGTAAGCACCCCAAAACAAACCCATGTTCTGGTTAAAATATAGGTACCGAAAGCCGAACTAGAGAACAGAACTCCCCAAATGAAGACTAGCAAACTAGCATGTCATCACCATGTCACCGCGCCGATTGTCTGTGCAACTCTCCTCTCCCCTGGGAGTGGGAAGGGAGAGCCCCAGAACCTCACGCCGGCTATCCACTTGGCAGTTCTTAGGCCGATGTGCTTGGCAACAATCGTGTGACTCTGGCTCCTGTTTTGTCCTCCAGCTCTGTGCCTTAAGGTGTTGTGCTGTTTCTTGGTGGCGGCGAGCCAGGAGTAATTTCGCAAGTACTTGGGCTGCATGTGCCTACGGTCCCCCTTCCCTAGGTGCCTTGTAAGTTCTGACTTTAGGGCTTTAGGTTAGGTTATCTTGAGATGATTTCGGGGCTTTTTAGTGTCCCCGCGGCCCGGTCCTCGACTAGGCCTCCACCCCCAGGAAGCAGCCCGTGACAGCTGACTAACTCCCAGGTACCTATTTACTGCTAGGTAACAGGGGCATTCAGGGTGAAAGAAACTTTGCCCATTTGTTTCTGCCTCGTGCGGGAATCGAACCCGCGCCACAGAATTACGAGTCCTGCGCGCTATCCACCAGGCTACCAGGCCCCCAAGGTGGCTTGGGGCCACCTTCCATAAGTCACCTTGTGATCTTGTGATCACTTTTTCTCACTCTCTC